CAACTTTGTCCTCTTCAACCTGAAGGGAGCTGGCAACCATGATTCACTTGCATCTGAAGAAGTGAGGTTCTTACCCACGAAAGCTTATGCTCCCAATACTTCTGTTAGTCTTAAAGGTGCCACAGGACCCTCTGTTACTTTTAGCTTGGGATTGTAGCTTCTGGATTCTAGGGTTAGCAAAGATCATCTGTTGTCTGATATTGTTTCACCGGTGATTTTAGCAAAGAAGTGGTGTCCCCTCTACTGCAATTAAAAACGACGTATGTGTGATTTTCACAAGAGCTTTTCCTTTTCAGACCAATAGAGTCCTAAATTGCCTACTGAGTTTTAATCAGGCTTTGTGAATCTTGGCGAGTCAGATAGTTATGAAGGGCTTTTACAGTTATTTAAAAAAAGCACAAATGTGTTTCCTTGGTGGAGCCATTCTAGGTGCCATTATCCTAAAGAGAAATAATCATGTTATTTTCCCCAGCAATTTCAGGGTTATCATATTGGCAATGGTATTTTATACTTCCATTCCACAAAATTATTGTTTCTGCAAGACAAAATACGGACTTCTCAACAGTTAAAAGCACACTCAGGGTTTTTTCTAGTTATTTATTTCCACAGGAAACCTCTATTCAGATGTAGCAGTGGGTCAGCATCAAGGAACTCTTCTTGATTTTTACTCTGCTTTCTAGCTGGATCATTTATTCACAAAACACGAAGTGTTCAGGAAACACACCAGCCCTATGGCCAGCAACTTTCTGGTTCCAAGCCCCCCAGCTGTTCCACTGCACTACACTGCCTCATCTGCCATTGATGCTGGCTTCAACAGAGAAAGCTGCATCAGCTAGTGCAAACTAACCAACTTACCACATGCAAGTCATAAAAGGAAGGTTTTTGAATCAAGAGGCATCAGCAAAGGCAGGGTACTAGTTTTCTCTAACAAAAGGTTTTGGTATTAATCACACTTCTCACGGGAAAAGAAACATGACTTTTTCCCTGATGCATGTGAAACTGAAACCTCCTCCCCCGCCCCCCCCACACTCCCTCAACAACTGCTACTGGAGCTATGAGCATCTTTGTTGCTTTGAAAATCAACTTGGCAAGAGGTTTTTAACTTCAGAAGTGACTAGCCAATTGTATTCAGCTTGACAGGATTCCTTCTGTGAACCAGTTTGACGTATAAAACAAAAGGAAATCCCACATGTGCAAAGCCTGGTTAAAAATGCTATGCAAAGGAAGTAGCTACAATACTGCCAGTACTAGGTGTGATATTACCTGGGAGAAAGGAAAGAGGAGCTGCTAAAGCTGGTTCCTCCGTTACACAGGCTATCTGAGAACAAATCTGCTTCATTCCCTTCTCCGTAATCCTCGAAGTGCTCCTCCCCACTAATTACGGTAACGATGGAGTGATTGTTGAGGTCTGAGCTCAAGGGTAGGTCATGTGGGTGGGATCTATCAGAGCAAAGAGTAAAAGAAAGGTGTTAAAATGTTGCCAAGGTAGTTACCATTCCAAAGGTGCATATTACACCCACAATTCCAATTGTGCTTATTACACGCCAATTCAGGATAAAGGACTAATTCTTATGGAAAGTGGAAGGCTACAGCATAATTTGTACAGTACTTGGACCCTGGAAGGGGCAACACAAGTGCTCTGTGTAAGTTTGTACCAACAGTCTGTCATGTCCATCAAGGTGAGCACCAAAGTAAATGCAACAAACCTGTCTCAGAAGTACCATGAAACTTGGCATAGTAAAACTGGTGAGATGATGTATAATTTGGTCAGTAAAACCAACGGTGAAGTTGTCACAGAGTCAGTGGGCCAGTGCTCTGGAACTACTCCACACGAAGCCAGTCAGGACTCTGGTGTAGCATGCCTCCTCTCTCTGAGCATATTGTCACCAGGGCAAGAAGCATACACAGCTTTGACCTTCCTGGGTCTGACCCAGTAGCGTAGCTAGCGGGGTGCAGGGGAAGCAGCCACTTCCCCTGCCTTTCCGAAAGCGGCCGGGGGGGGGGGGCGCGGCATGCGGCCCGCAGCACGGCCCGGCAGCGGCGGCCAAAGGAGCGGGGGGGGCGCAGGCAGCGTGGCCGGCAGCCATGGGGGGGCGGCGGGCACGGCTGGAGGAGCGGGGGGTGCACGGCATGCGGCCTGCGGCCTGCAGCGCAGCCCAGCAGCCGGAGGAGCGGGGCCCGGGGGGTGCAGCCTGGCGACCCGCAGCGCACCCCGACAGCCGTGGCCAGAGGAGCAGGGCCCGGGGGGCGCAGCCTGGTGGCCCGCAGCTCACCCCAGCAGCCGCGGCCAGAGGAGCGAAGGGGGGGGGGTGCAGCCTGGCGGCCCGCAGCATGGCCAGCAGCCATGGGGGGGCGGCGGGCGGGCACGGCCAGAGGAGCTGGGAGGCGCAGCATGGTGGCCAGCAGCTGTGGCCGGAGGAGCGAGGGGGGGTCCACGGGGGTGGCCCGGCAGGGCCAGAGGAGCCATGGGGGGGGAGGGGCAGGGCGGCCGGAGGAGGAGCCGAGGGGTCGTGGCCAGAGGAGGAGCTAAGGGGGGGTGCCTTTTTTATATTTGCTCCCCCTCCTCTTAGAAGCTGGCTACGCCACTGGTCTGACCTTGGGCATTCAGCATCCCCTTCCTCCCAGTGTGCAGCTCCTGGAGAAGCCAGAGAGCCCTGCACCCCAACTCCTGCAGTCAGCAGTGACTCTCAGCCAGCATGTAGAACAGAAGGGTTTATTAGATGACAAGAATACAGCGTAGAACAGAGGTTGCTATCACAGAAATCAGTGACTTTCAGCCAAGTCCATCTTGGGGAGTCCTGGGCTAGACGGCCTGGACTCCCCCTCTTCCAGTCCCCCAAGCAGACTGCCCAGCTTCCAGTGATCCGTCCCCTGACACCCCTGTTGCTCCTCCTCCTCCCCTTTGTCCTGCTTCACGGGCAAAAGGTGCCACCTGGTTGCACCCCCCTCCTGGGTCTCAGGTTATGAAGGGCACCGCCATAGCATATGTGCAGACCGCTGGGCAGCCTCACCTGCCCAGAGGGTCTCGGCACAAATCACATACCCAATTCCCACCACTGAAATATTGGTGCAGTACACAGGGAAACAGAGGTACACACAATATTAGGATAGGACAGTAAGACTCGCATGCAACACAAGATTAATAAAACCCCACTTCGTCACAGAAGTATGCTCAGCTAGCTGGGCAGAGAAAACAAAGCTAAATGATTCCTGAGTTAACACCATGCAGTTAAGTTATACAGTCAGCCGACATCTACACATTAGCCTGTTATTTCACTTAGTGCTGTGTAATCCTATTAAGAGCCCAGTACTGGGGTTTAACCAGTCAGTGGCACAGATCCTCGTTGGTTGCACAAGGCAGCTATTCAAAACATCAAAGTTTCCTTTAAGTCAGCCACTAACCTAAATAGCCCTCTTCTGGTTTTCCCTGCAAAATGTTTTAAGCAGTCAGGTGGATAAAAACGGGGAGGTACACAAGCTATCATCAGTCATTAAAAACATCCTGCTTTACATAACACTTCATCTTCAACCCATTGTACAAATATTAACTCGTTACACCATTGATTACATACTAATTTATGGAAAATCTTGTGGAACTGGAATGCAGAGCTTTTATGCAACTCTAGAGAAAATAGGGGATTGTAAGAGTCGACCACTGGAGAAAGTCTAAGATGGAACCAAAATTTCGTTCCAAGCAGACACTGCTATTCAGACTAACTGCATAAAGAAAAAAGCATCCGGGCACCATCATCCTTTCTTGATTCCAACGACAGTCAGAGAACCTGTTACTTAAAAAATTCCGCTATTTATAAGGACGTGGCTTATTTCATTATCCACTTGCTAAAGAAAAAAATGTATCTGACCAACGTTAAATCTAATGAAAAAGTTATAGATAAGCCATTTAAGACAAAAATATACAGCATTTAAGAGACTTCAGCCTTACTCTGCTAATAAAAGTTTTCCATCCATGCAGAAGCGAGTCTGACAGCAGATAAATTCAGCTTCAACTTGCTGGGAATCTGCACACCTTCCTACATACTAAGGAAGTGCAGTTAAATCTCTAACTAGGTCCATCAAAAATTATGCTTTCAAGCCTCAAAGTTTTTAGGAATGTCTTTCATCCACAAGGTAAATGCATAAACAGAGGCTGATGGGTTGATGCTCAGGGCACCTCCTTTACAAATGAGAGAGGGTACTCTACCCATCAAGAAAGCAACACAGGCCAGAACAAAGCAGAGGAAAGATTATTTACAAAACAAAATATATAGAAAATGTGTCAGAGCAGACGTCATCTCGGCTGATCTCAGCGAGGCAGATCCCTTTAAAGGACAGAATGGGCCCTATGAAAGGGCAGTGTTATGAAACACATTCTTGTGCTATTTCATGCATATCTACTGTAGATGTTAAGGGCTTCAAAATCCTACAGAAATCTTTCTAATCAACAGCTGAAATGTTTACTTATGTTCATACAGTCTAAGGTGCACAGACTTTAATATCAGTGACTGAAAGGTCACCTTTAGAACTACGCTCAGCCTGAACAGCTACAGTGACAGGGTTTTACTGTGCGATGGATCCATGGAAGCACAATGGAGGTGCGAGAGGCAGTTCTACAGGGGGCCCTGCCTCAATGCCGTTAAATCCCACAGCCTGCAGTCAGATTTCTTGGGTAAATATTCTCCCTCACACAATTTTCAATTTCTTAAGCTTCCTTCCACATTTTAACCCAAAGTTTAACATTTATTTAAAGCCCCATTATAAACTATCTGAACCACAGAGGGTTTTACAGGACGCTGCCTGACTGAACAAGTAGGAAGGTGAGGGATGGACAAAGCACTGTAAACACCTCCCCCTCCCCCATCTTTAAATCTAATTGTGATGGTCCCAATTTAATTTAAAAAAATCCCCAAGCAAAGGGCTTTTGTACCTACAGGCAGGTGAGTCCAAGACATGTAGCCATTTTTCCAGAGGGTCGGGGGGAACGTATGCAGGCCGGCATGTTTTGCTGACCCTCCTTGGTACAATCAGCGCTGTTTGGTGGCCTAGCAGCTTGGAAACTGATTATACACTGAGAGAGTTAATAATCACTGAGCCGAACACTCTTCGGCAAAGAAAGCGCAGCCAGCTAATCTCCTTTCCTTTATAACACCCAGGGCCTCTCATGGTAAGCACTCTTTCCACCCCAGTTCAGAGCACCTGCTCCCCACCCTTTCCCCACCATGCAAAGAAGCACTTTGAAAAGTCATCCCCTCTTCACTTTTGGAAGAAGTGAAGCGACAGGCTTAACAAACAAAGAAATGCCAACCTGAATGGAGACCTCTGGACTCAGCTGATCTGCTTCTCAATCTTACAGTGAGCACATTAATTAGCAGACTTTAACTAGAAAGGTTAAACAAACTTTTATTTCAATAAAGTCTGAAGAGGTCATTATGTTTCCATTGGGAAGTCATTACTAAGAGTAGAATTTAACAGCTTCCCCATTCTTTCCTACCTCTCTCCATCATTCTCTCATTTCCCTCCCTACCCCCAAAACTACCTTCACAATATCCTTTGGGGAGGATTCAAGTCAAGCACAGCAGTTCCTCCAAACTAAAGGAATGTCAGTGCTGCTCCAGAGACCACATGAAAGAATGTCTTTTAGTCATACTCTGCAACCAGATTTTTCAGACAAAAGTCATTAAGCTGGAGTTACAGTTACTCATGCATATTTACAAAGTAAGGTTTGGGTGGGAATACTAAGAATACTACTCCTATTTTTAGAAACCAAATAACCAAAAATATAATTTAAAGTGGTATATTAAACTTTATGCTTTGCTCCTCAAAGTGTTGTGAGAGATCTCAGGCCCTGAACAGATAAGCAACTAGACAACTGATAGAGAGGTTAAAGATTCTGAAGAGCTTTCAGATGTGCACAGGAGGTGACATTTTCTGTGTCCAGGTTCCAAAAGATTACCACACTAAATAAGGTCATTAAAAATAGGCTGTATACTATTTTTTTCAGAATATTTAATTCTTGCATAAAGTCACAAACACTAACAAGCTGTTAGAACTAGAAAGACCCAAAAACTCATTATATTCTTGCCAGAAATTCAAATCATGGGAGAGTTTGCTATCAGTGGAGTTGTGCTTGCTTTACGCCATCAATGAATTTGACCCTGTTGCTGTCATCCTCCTCCTCCCTCCCTCCCTCCCACATACTTGTCAGAAGTGAGCAGCACTGACCCATTCTCTGGATCCTCTATAGGATCGGTGAACTCTGAGTGCACCGTGGAATCAATAGCACTGTCCGTTTCTACTTCATCGTGCATCTCGGGATGTACCAGCGTGCCGGTGTCCTCGTCTGTGAAGGTTTCACACTCGCTGTAAGTGCTCTCTGAGCCCATGTAGGCACTGTCAGTCACCTCATTTGCCTGTTATAAAATACAACAGAAAAACTATTAGCTACTCTTACCTGATTTTGTTCTACAACAGGAACATCAAACGTGCACACATTAATTAAACTTAAAAATGCAGGCAACAATTTAAGGATAAAAAAAAAATCAGATCTTACAGTTCCATGAACTGTAAATCATGACCAGATGTGCAGTTATGCATGCCCAACACACACCAACCACTTGTAAATTGACAGACATGTCAGAAGAGACCAAATGATTTTACTAACCCCAGAATTTTGGGCTTTCATGTACTACATAGTTTCCGTCAATAAATTATTGCTTTTAGATTGCACATGTTTTGATACAGAAGTGGGTTTTTTACCCACGAAAGCTTATGCCCAAATAAATCTGTTAGTCTTTAAGGTGCCCCCGGACTCGTCGTTTTAGAGACACGTCAGTGTTTAGAAAATGTCAAGTACATTTTGGGCACTTCTGCAACCTAAATAAATAAAAGTGTAATACGTAAGAGAGGGGTAGAGGTTGTGTTAGAAGAACACAGGGATCAATATCAGCATACTGCCTTAGAAGGAGGTTTGCAATCTGACCAACAGTGGTTTGGATCATCGTATGCCTTTTATCCAATTCATTTTAAAAAGTTTGGCAGTTTAGCTAGTTGGGGTTCTAGGATGATCACCACAAAGACTGTAATTATGTGGGCTTTATTGCTGCAAAGTACTGTTTTCTGCTGTTACAAGAAATCCTCCACCCGTCAAAAATATAAAAATAAATTTGTTTAAAAACTTTTAAGACGACATTCAATTTGCCAGGGTCGAATCTTCAATATATAATCTTAAAGAGACTTGAACAGAGACACTTTTCAACAAAATTTTTTTGTAAAAATATTTTTGAACTGCTTTACTAATAATGTCTCTAATGTTCTGTAAGATAGTGGCATGATCCGGTTGTCAGGGCCCCACAATTGGAGTCAGAAAACCTAGATATATTTGGCTTACCAACTCGCCTGACGCGTGATCCTTAGGCAAGTCAGTTCCCCTCCCGCCCTTTGTCTGTTTAGATTGTAATTACCCTGGGGCAGGGACTGTCTCTCAATACTTAAGTGTACAGTGCCTAGCCCAGGGGTGGGCACACTTTTTGGCTCGAGGGCCACATCTGGGTATGGAAATTGTATGGCAGGCCATGAATGCTCACAAAATTGGGGGTAGGGGTGCGGGGAGGAGTGTGGGCTCTGGCTGTGGGGTGGGGCCAGAAAAGAGGAGTTCAGGATGCGGGAGGGGGCTGTGGGTTCAGGTAGGGGGTTGGGCTGTGGGGGGAGGTGAGGGCTCCGACTGGGGGTGCGGGGTTTGGGTGCAGGAGGGTGCTTCAGGCTGGGACCGAGGGGTTCTGATGGTGGAAGGGGGATCAGGGCTGGGGCAGGGGGTTGGGGCACGGGGGGGGGGGGGGTAGGGGTGCAGACTCTTGGCAGTGCTTACCTCAAGCAGCTCCTGGAAGCAGCAGCAGCAGCAGATGATCCCTCCTCTGGCTCCTACGCGGAGGCGCGGCCAGGCTGCTCTCCACGCTGCCCCGTCCAAAGGTGCTGCCCTCGCAGCTCCCATTGCCCACGGTTCCCGGCCAATGGGAGCTGAGTGGGTGGGGCTTGGGGCGGGGGCAGCATGTGGAGCCCACGATTACCCCTACGCATAGGAGCCGGAAGGGGGAAAATGCCGGCTGCTTCCTGGGAGCTACGCGGAGCCACGGCACACATGGAACGGGCCAAGCCCCTGACCCTGCTCCCTGGCGGGAGCTCGAGGGCCAGATTAAAAGGTCTGACAGGCCACATATGGCCTGCAGTTTGTCCATCCCTGGCCTAGGCCAAGAGGTCCCTGATCTTAGATGGGGCCTCTGAGCTACTGAACTGCTACTAAAATAAATATTACTACTAGGGACCAAACGGCAGGAATATACTTTACTTTACTGCATGTATGTTCTTTCCTTTTTGCACTTCGTTCACCTTGGGATAGTGAAACTAGTCATTTTCATTTCTGAGTCACAGACACAACCACAATGTTGATCCCACAACAACATTTAAGTGACCTTTCTTTCTACGTTAAAGTGTCCCATGGGAGCAGCACACCAAGAGAAGGAGTAGCGACTCCTTTCCACCTATGAGAAACGACCTCACCCCGTGCTTCAAGAGGAGCAGTCAGACTTGACCTCTATGGGAGATGAACTTTGGTAAGAGTGCAATGGGTGGTGGGCCTAGCGAATGCACAGCTTGATAAGAAGCCACAAGGAGGAAAGGCTTATGCCAGGTTTTTTTATTTTATTGTAATTCTCTCTCTCATTTCTCTTCTTTTTTGTAAAGCTGAGTCCAGGGCTCCTACATCTGGGCACCCTGCTGAAAACCGGTAACATTTGGGGGTTTCGTCTCTCATCTCCACCCTGCCTGGAAGAAGCATAGGGAGGTTTTCTGCAGCAAAGGGCCAGCAGGCAGGCATCACCACAGGAGTTAGAACCGTGAAGACTCAAGTGCAACAGCAGGGAGCCCGCCATGGTGAGTGACCGAGGGAGAGCGTCACAGGCCCGTGAGTCTACATACAGGAACCACAAGTTCTGCTGGAATCCCTTTCAAAGGCCTTTTGCTGGCAGCATTTGCCATGATCAACGTTCCAGCCAACCACAGACCATTTCTCACACAGACCTCAAGAATGTCTGCGTTATGTGAAGTTTACCCAACTGGATCAAAGCAGCTCTGTAACTGATGCCATTTTTCTTCAGCAAGGTCAGAGGACTAGAGGTATAGAAAGCAAATAATATCTTGAGTGGACCAATGCAGTAATAGCGATGCAAAAGCCAACCCCTTGTCATTGGCTAAAGACTGTGCAGAGGAGCTTTTAGTGCTTTTCCATCTGCTTTAGAAGAGAAGCTGCCCTAAGTTTCTCATGCAGTGTTGTAGCCGTGTTGGTCCCAGGATGCTAGAGAGACACAGTGGGGGAGGTAATATCTTTTACTGGACCAACTTCTGTTAGTGAGAGAGACCATTTGAGCTACACAGAGCTCTTCATCAGGGCTGGGAAATGTACTCTAAGTGTCACAACTAAATACAAGGTGGAACAAATTGTTTTGCTAAGTAGTTAACGCATATTTCAAGGGACCACTCAAGGTGAAGTGGCCAGTTAATACCTATCCAATCATAAGGGGGAAAAAGGAGAAAAAATGCTGGGGGGATGTTACTGGGTTATAGATTTGTTGTAATAAGTGTGACAGTTCCTCCTCTATCTTGGTGGGTTCCCTCTCACTCTCAGCTCCTCACGCCTCTTGCTCCCAGCTCTTCACACTCGCACCACAAACTGAAGTGAGCTCCTTTTTAAAGCCCAGGTGCCCTGATTAGCCTGCCTTGATTCTAGCAGCTTCTTCTTAATTGGCTCCAGGTGTCCTAATTAGCCTGCCTGCCTTAACTGGTTCTAGCAGGTTCCTGATTACTCTAGTGCAGCCCCTGCTCTGGTCACTCAGGGAACAGAAAACTACTCATCCAGTGACCAGTATATTTGCCCTCTACCAGACTCCTGTACCCCACTGGTCTGGGTCTGTCACATATCCCTCCCCCCTGCTCAACGCCAAGGGGTTGGGCAGCTTGGGACACCAGACAGTGCACACGTGACAAGCCATCGGCGTTGCCATGACGGCTCCCTGCTCTGTGTTGCACACGGAACTGGAAAGGTTGGAGGGATAAGAACCATCTGGTCACCCTTGTGGTGTTCTCCTTGTTCTGCTGCATCCATTGAAGAGGGGCATGGTCAGTCACGAGGACAAATCTGCGCCCGAGCAGGTAGTAGCGCAATGTTTCCATGGCCCATTTTACAGCGAGGCATTCTCTCTCCACCACTGCATATTTTTGTTCCCTTGGAAGGAGTTTCCGACTGATGTATAGAATTGGGTGTTCCTCCTCCCCGACCATCTGTGATAGAACGGCCCCCAACCCTACTTCCGATGCATCCGTCTGTAGGATAAACTCCTTGGTGAAATCAGGGGCTATCAGTACGGGGTTATTGCAGAGGGCAGTCTGTAGGTCTGTGAATGTTTCCTCTGCTGCGTCAGACCATCTCACCAGATCAGGTCCACGGGCTTTCACTAGGTCTGTCAGGGGGCTTGCCCTTGCGGCAAAGTGGGGGATAAATAGTCGGTAATACCCCACCACACCTAGGAACGCCCGGACTTGTTTCTTGCGACTTGGTCGGGGCCAATTTTGGATGGCCTCTAACTTGTTCACTTGGGGTTTTACCAGACTTTTTCCCACAATGTAGCCAAGATATTTGGCCTCCGTAAACCCTACAGCACACTTGGCAGAGTTTGCTGTAAGGCCAGCTTGCCTGAAGGTATCGAGGACTGCCTCCACCTTCTCCAGGTGGGTTTCCCAGTCTGGGGTATGAATGACCACATCGTCCAAGTAGGCAGCAGTATAACTGTTATGCGGGCATAATAGCTTGTCCATGAGGCGCTAGAAGGTAGCTGGGGCCCCATGTAGTCCAAAAGGGAGGACAGTATATTGAAAAAGACCCTCTGGTGTAGAGAACGCAGTCTTTTCCTTTGCGTCTTCGGCAAGGGGAATCTGCCAGTACCCCTTTGTCAAGTCTAGGGTAGTCAAGTACCGGGCGTTACCCAGACGGTCCACTAGCTCATCTATGCGAGGTATGGGGTACGCGTCGAACTGGGATACTTCGTTTAGTCGCCGGAAGTTGTTGCAAAAATCTTGTGGTGCCATCAGGTTTGGGCACCAGCACGATTAGGCTGGACCACTGACTGTGGGATTCTTGGATGATCCCCAACTCCAGCATTTTTTTCTCTCCCTTTTTGACGCTGGCACCCAATAGGGCCTCATTGTTACTCTGGCCCCAGGGTTCATGACAATGTGGTGATATGTCTCGGTTGTTCAACCCGGTTTTGTCGAGAACACATCTTGGTTCCGGAAGATCATCTCAGACACCTCATTCTTCTGGTCTGGTGTTAAATCGGGAGACACTCTCACCTGTTTGGAAGGC